AAACAGCGCACCAACCCATTTTGTATATAAAAAATTATATTACAGCACCAGTTATTTTCAGTTTCTTTTAGAAAGTAACACCTTTGCAAACCAATTTGTGAAACCAACTGACATCAGTCTATCTGTTTCTGCTGTCTCTCTACCCCGCAAGTTTTAGATTTACAAAAAAAATGTAGACGGATTTCCAACAGAGTTATTCTAGACCTTGCTGCTAATCCTCTTGTGATCAACCTTCAGGTCTGAATAATAATTTGCTGCAAACTAGACATTCGCAGCACATGCTTCCTTCATATAGTGTCATTTATTTTCGTCATCAATTCTTGATGCTTAACAACATTCTGTAAGAACTGTTTTTGGCCTTTTGACTCGCTGTTTTGGTTGTGATTTTAGTGTAAAACCAATGAACCAAAACACAAAGTGTCTGCACCGGTAAACTGATGACGGAAAGTGTTGGAACTGATTGTTCTGCTTGTTTCCTGTCCATGTTTTTTAGCAGTTAGGTACAAGAAAGCGTAGCGTGAGGTTGATGACAAGACTGGAGGCGACAACACGCTGCTTTGTGAAGCATTTCATCAGACAGTGCTGCAGGACAGAGGAGGGGTTTCAGTAGTGAACGGCTGCACACATGAGGAAATGCCTATCAGCTTTTTGAAACAGCGTTTTAATGGTAGTTTTCAAGCAGTCAAGATATTTGGTTTAAGATTTGTAGGGTTTTTTTATGATAGGTGAGAGCTGCTGCTTAAAGGAAGCTGTCTGTTTTGCACTGTGTGTTTTCTGTTTCAACTATCCCAACTGTGTTTTGGACATTCACTGTTCTGTACATGCATTAAACTGCACCTAAAGGAACTGTTATGTGATGCTTTCAATTGTCAGAGAGGTGAAAGGAAACTTTTCTTGATGGTGCTAAAAAGGATGTAAAAATCTAGTGCCGAAGTGGAAAAAAATATCTCATCTTTAGCTCACCGGCCTTGCACTTTTTCCCCTTCCTTATCAGTTTTGTGCTTCGCTTGCAGCTTTAAGGAAGCGGTTAACCTTGATGGAGGGTGGTAGAAAGATCTATAGTGGCTCACAAAGCAAATGGAAAACTGTGCCTGCTTGTGATCAGTCAACTAGTAAAGATTTACCCACATTTATGCTAAGATAATTTGTCCTAATACCTACATAGTATGGCATTAAGAATGTCCAAATTAAAAATAATTTATCTGAAAATATGTTAAGAAAAATTAGAAAACCTTTAAACCTGTTGAAAGCAGCTTTTTGCCTTTTTAACTATCTATGTTTTTCCTTTAATAGGCCACATAAAAATATTTATACTTCTTACAGCAGCGTGTCAGACCAGTTAGTATTTGTTTAATGTGGCAGCATTTTCTGAGAGAATTTAGTTGAAGTCTTTACAGTTTTAGATCCAGTTTAATATTTCAAAAGAGCTCCCTATCAGTGTGACTACTAGAGGCTGTTCAGACCTCCATCCATCCATCCATCCATCCATCCATCCATCCATCCATCCATCCATCCATCCATCCATCCATCCATCCATCCATCCATCCATCCATCCATCCATCTTTTACCCGCTTTTTCCGTTTTGGGTCACCGGGGTCACTGGTCACACTACAGCTACAGCATGCGCTCTCAGAACATTATTACCTGCAGTGTTCCCTCAGTGAGAACTGAACTTGGCAAAAGGGACTTCTCCTACTCCACTCGTTTACAGGAATATCTTACAAAAACATCTGAAGCTCTCGACTTTAACCTCTCTAAGTGGCTTTAAACATCTGTTAATTTCCTGGCAAGAACCAATGCAGACATGTTCCTGTTCTTAGTTTTCTCCTTAATCTAGACATTTTTTTCGCTACAATTTTTTTTTTTTGCCATCTTATTTTAATTTGTTACAAAAATAAATAAATAAATAAATCTGTATGCCTCTTTTATGATTGTCTATTGTTGTCATCACTCTTTGTTAAAATCAGGTCTCTCTTGTAAACGAGTCCTCGAGGCTCAATGGGATTAACCTGTCTAAATAAAGGTTGAACGAAAAAAAAAAAAAAAAACTGGTGCCCATGTCCAGCTAACGCTGTTCAGACCTGTTTGTAATCCATCTCAAGTGATTTGACTGCAGGTGACCAGCTCTGTTTGAGAGCGTTCACACCTGGCTGGTTAATGCAAACCTTAAAAACACTTTTAGTAATCAGATCTTTTGCTGATACAGGCAGGCCTATAACACAGATCTGCAGATGTTTCTGTAGAAATCACAATACATTCAGCTATATGAACTATATTACTTTGACATGAACACGGTTCAAAACCATTTGAGTTGCATTTCTGTCAAGTGACTTCTTAATAAGCTGAATTACCAAACTCTGTGTCCAAGCCCCCCAAAAAAGAAGATTTTAACTTATAAGACTCCACACTGCACTGCATTTATTAGGTGAATATAATGCAACATAACACTGCTCAGACTGTTCTGTAATTGACGTGGCACAATATAACTTATTGTGACCACAGTGGGTCCAATCAGCTCTAAAACTGTCAGAACAAACATTAAAATGAATAGAAACTCACCTTTGCAGCATCCTATATTCCACTTCAATTAATACAGTTCCAGCAAAATGCACGTTTCATTGAGAAAGGACTCTGATGAACTTTTCATAAAAACTTTTAGTCTTAAAAAACAAGGTAAAGAAACAAAGAGCTGTATTTTCAGATAAAAAATTTCCCAAAGGATGTGCTATTTAACTGTCCTAAATAAACAGACAGCTCAATGTTCTCTTTGCTGTCTGTGTGGTATGTCCATTCAGTAGGAGGTCCCACATCAAGAATCAGGGCAGATGATATAAGGTGTCCAATCCACCTAAATGTGGTCTGAGGGAAGACAATTTCAGTACACATTAAGGCCATTCAATGCAATCAGATAGCTAAAGATGATTAAAACCCATTTGTGAACATCTGGTTCATATGTTAATTACCAAAATAACAAACAACTTCTGTCTCTGTCTCCTGTCTTAGGCTGTACACAGGTGCTGAAAGGATGATGGTGATGATAATGGGAGGAGGCCGCAGCCGACGGTGCAGACCTCGCTAGAAGCCGCACATTGTATACCATCACCCTTCCACCTTCATCATCCACCATTGCTCTCCATCCTTCCCAGCACCATGGCCAACCACTTGGAGCTGATCCAGGAGCTGCAGCAGCTGGACAAGGTGCCCAGTCTGGAGAGGTTGCGGGCAGCTCAGAAGCGCCGGACCCAGCAGCTAAAGAGGTGGGCAGTGTATGAGAAGGAGATGCAGAACAAGAAGCGGAAGGCGGATAAAAAGGGACGAAGTATTAACAGCCTGCAGCAGTCAGAGTGCAGGAGGCGCGTGTCGTTTGCTGCCAGCGTGGCGCTCCTGGAGGCATCGGCCAGGAATGACCCTGATGAAGGTAACTTTTTAAAATATACGTATAAAAACTGATGCACATAACATGAGATAGACAGAAAATATCTGTGTTTAGGATTTATTCCCAAGGCAGGACATTAAAAATGGGCTTCAGTGATTTCTTCTTTAGCTTAAAGTAAATGCCGACAAAAATGTTTGCCTCAACAAATGAGTAATTGTTTTAATTTCAGCCTCAGCGTCGTTCTTCTCTCAGATATCAAAACGCCAAGGTCGGGGTAATGATTAGCTTGGCCTTCCTCTTTAAACAGCCTGTGGAAGTCACTCCATTCAAACTAAATTTGTTCTGCTACAAGACCATTTTATCATCAGGAAATAATGGAGTTGTCACACTGAGATGAAACTCTGTTAGTCTGTTAATTAAAAATTCTGCATATAGTGCCTCTATGTTTGCAGATAATAATTGTTTTCCTCCAGTAGAGATAGTCCCATGATGCTGTGGCAGTGTTTCTGTGATGCTTGGATGATAACATGCTGCTATCTTTCAGATATGGCATCTAATTTAGCATCACTTTAACCTGAAATTGGTTTGAATTATTTTTATCAGAAGAAAAGCAGCCCGCAGCAGTGCCACTGTGTTTTCTGATTGCAAGCTGCCATTGTAGACACAACAAAACAACATTGTAAGGCTGCTTTAATTTCATAATAATTATAATAAGACAGAACTGATTTCTTCATATTTACACTTTAAAACATGGAAGCTGTGAACTGGCACATTTGCATGAGATGCTTTTGGTGCTGATTTTGGTTTTTCAATGGCTGATCTTTTTATTTATTTATTTATTTTTATAAAAAAAAAAGAAGAAACATTTAAAGCTAGTTGTTTGGCTGCTGTGCTGCATGTAATTCACAGGAAGTCTGAAGCAATCTGACAATCAGGCATGGCTTCCTGTCTCTACTGGAGTCTGGAAAAACCACACTAGTCGACCAGAAACAGGCAGCGTCTTCTCATTAATATAGAGAAAACATTCATATTTATCCACAATTGATATTGATAAAATATGTTACTGTTGCACATACAGCCTTGCAAAAGTATTCACCCCTTTTGGCTTTTTACCTATTTTGTTAAAGTACAACCTGTATTTAATGTTTTAAAAAAAATCTGAATTGTATTTGATGCATCTTCACTAAATAGTCTAAGTTGGTGAAATTAAATGAGAAAATTATACGTATTTTGGGTGGGTGGTGCTGTACATACAGTATGTATTCACCCACTTTGCTGTTAAGCTCCTAAAAAGTTTTGGTGCAACCAATAACCTTCAGAAGTCACATGCTTATTGAAATAAAGTCCACCTGAGTGTAATCTGTGTGTCACCTTTCAGAACATACACAGCTTTTCTGAAAGATTTCTGAGGCTGCAACACATTAAGCAAGAGACACCGCTAACCAAACACTATGAAGACCAAGGAGAGCTCTCAATAAGTCAGGGACAAAGTTGTTAAGTACGTCAGGACTGGGTTATCAAAAAAAAAAAAAAATCCAAATCTCTGATTATCCCCTGGAGCACCATCAAATCCATTATCATCAAATGGAAATATCATGGTACCATTACAAACCTGCCAATAGAGGGTCTTCCACCAAAACTCTCAGACCAGGCGAGGAGGGCATTAATCAGAGAGGCAGCACAGATACAAAATGAGCTGAAGGAGTTGCAGCGTTCCCAAGCAGAGACTGGAGTATCTGTCCATACAACCACAATAAGCCGTACACGCCATAGAGCCGGGCTTACTGGAAGGGTGGCCAGACAAAAGCCTTTACTTACAGACAAATATAGGAAGGCTTGTTTTGAGTTTGCCAAAAGGCATGTGGGTGACTCCTCCAATGTATTGAAGAAGGTGCTTTGGTCAGATGAGACCAAAATTGAACTTTTCGTCCACCAAGGAAAACACTATGTCGCAAAACCAACACATCTCAGTACACCATCCCCACAGTGAAGCATGGTGGGGGCAGTATCATGCTGCGGGGATGTGTTTCAGCAGAAGGGACTTCAGATATTCCTGAGCAAACCCTGTTTCTGTCATTGATTTGAGACTGGGACGGAGGTTCACCTTCTAACAGGACAATGACCCAAAGCATACGGCTAACGCAACACTCCACTGGTTTAAGGGCAAAATGTGTGAATATTTTGGAATGGCCTAGTCAAAGCCCAGACCCTAATCCAATGGAGAATCTGTGGTCAGACGTGAAGATTGCTGTTCGTCAACGGAAACCATTTAACGTGAAGGAGCTGGAGCAGTTTGCCTTGAGGAATGTGCAAAAATCCCAGTAGTAAGATGTGGCAAGCAATTGTAGTTGCTGCAAGAGTTGGATCCACAAAGTTACAAAGCACTGACTGACTTTTTTGTTGTTGTTGTTGGGGGTGGGAAGTGGGGTGGATAGTTATGCACACTGAATTTTTCATTTATTTAGTTTTATTTTTGTTTGCTTCACAATAAATAGAACATCAAATGTTCTAAGTTGTAGGTGTGCTCTGTAAATGAAATGATGCAATCCCTCAAGTAATCCATTTAATTCCAGGTTGTGAGGTGGTAAAACACAAAAAATGCCAAGGAGGGTGAATACTTTTGCAAGGCATTGTATGCAATGTCAAGTGTGAGTGAATTCAAACCAGTTAAGGCTGGTTTTTGTGCATTTTAGCCAGTTTTGATACAGTACACAAAAAGTTTTTTTTTCTTAGCG